ACATGTGTTTTGAAGAACTCTAAGAGTTGGGGGAGGGTGGGGAAATCAACTTTGGAGGGAATCAAGGAAGGTAACAAGCCAGTCAGAGAAGCAAAGGGATGAAAGGCCAGGATGGAAGTAAGGATGGCACCAGCAGGGAAGGTAACACCATGAGCTTCTGCCCTGAAACTAGCAGCCAACTTAGAGAATCAAAGATGGCTCAGTTCCATTTATGTGGAGACAGGTAAAGAACAGCAGGAAATGCAATTCAGGAAGCTCAGGAAAAGCACTGACCAGTAGGGTTTTGTATTTTGTTCACATACAGTGGGAAGATATTTAGGGCTTTTCAGAAGGGAATTATAAGATTTGGTGTGTGCTTTAGAAATACTAAAATGGTACACAATAAATCAAGACTTGGATTGTAACAATGATGAATTTGATATGTGAAGCACACTTAAGAAACCACTGTAATATTCTAGGCAAGAGATGATGGAGAGGTATCTGTAGCTAGGAGGGTGGCACTGGAAGTGGGAAAGAAAAGATGGGTGTGAGAATGAATATTGAGGTAAGAATGAAAAGATTCAGAGTCTAATTGAGCATGGGATATGGGGATGATAAGTAAGATTCACAGATAACGCCAAACTCATTAATAGCAACAGAAATATCAGGAGGATGAGCTGATTTTGGAAAGAAAGTACAGTTTTCAACACATTAAGTTTTATCTATTCCTTATAGAGATATTGAGAAGGTAGCTGAGAACTGTGCATCTGGTAAATGGTGATATTAAAAGACATTTAGCATCCAAAGGAAACAAGAAAACATTGGTGAGATGGAATCTTCTGGAATGACTATTTTTAGGATGCTGAAAGAGAATGAGGAGGAGTTGCATAAGCAGTGCTAAGAAAGGAACTAAGTAGGTGGTTACACCATCACGAAGCCAGGTGAAGAACTAGAACTGAATTTAATGATTCAAAGGTTACTGGTGCCTATTGACAGAGTGGTTTTAAAAGAATGGCCAAAAATGTAATGCATTGTTTAAAAACTCTAACGAAGTTCTGATTATAAATTAATTTTTAAGCATTTCTAGTATTTTAATCAATAATGTAATCCGGTTCCATTTCTTTGATTGTTTCTTATTTCCCTTTCTATTTAACACTGTTCTAGGGATTTTCCCATTTTCAGGGCATTTATCATCAATAATTTCCAGAAATAGTTATAGGAATAATAAAGTGTAATCTAATCGTTCCATTGACAGAGGTATTTTCCAAAGCTTTAAGGTTTTAAATATGACTTTGCTCCTGTAATTTTAGTGATAATGTCTATTATGTTCACCTATTTTAGCTATATCTATGGAATTAATGGAATTAGTTTGTGGTTTTCTTTTAATCAGAATAATTAATCTATCAGCATTTGAAATAATCAGTCCCTCAGATATAATTTTAGTATTCCACATACTCAAGTCTTTTATCTACAACATTTGTATGGTCTAGTTCATATTTTTACAGACTCACAGTTACTTTTAATTTAAAGTACTTCTCTAAAAAAGTCATAGTAAATCCTAAATATTTGGCATTTGGTTTAAACATATATATTTGTTATTATTTATTATAATTATTAATACACTAAAAACATTAATTATTATTTTCACTTGCAGAATCATCAGAGCATCTTAAATCTGGAAGAGGCCTTAGAGAAAATTAATTTGCATCACTTGACATATGAGTAATGAAAATCCCAGGTTAAGAAACTAGATAAAAGTCACATGGCATGTTAACACATCACACGTGACTCAGAATTATATAGTTACAAAGACCAACACATAATAAAATAATTATAAAATTATTTGCCTGTTTCAGTCATTCTCCACTATAGATATTGAATTACATTAGGAGCTGATGAGGAAACAAAAGGAGATGATAACATTGTTCCTTCCCTCTAGGAGGTACATACTTGGAAAAAATTTTTACTTTGCCATCTATAGAATCTAGTATAGAAAGCTGTCATTGTTGGATGAAGGAAGAACGAATGATTTTAGTTAACAAAATAGCTTTTCTCTATTATGTAGTAAAATTACTAACAGACAAGTCAATCAAGGGATTTTGTAGATTAATACTTTTTAAACAAAGCAGTCAAACTTATTATCAAGTGCCAGATGCTTTAAGAGTTTGCTTCAATTCAAAATTTTTTGTTGTCAAAAAAGATTGACCAAGGAGGATTGGTAAATTGAGCTAGATTTTTCTTCCTTTTTCCTTAATTTAGGAAACCTCTTTACATTTCACTCAAAAGAGGGGTGTGCACAAAGGTCCTCTGAAATGAATATATATGAAAACAGTAGATCTTACATATTCAATTCAGTGGCACAGAGTTTTGAAATAACTATTAATTTTCAGCTTAAGGTTAGGACCCAGTTTATTGTATATTAGATAAATTTTGGGGAAAAGGGAAATGATTAATAAAGGAAATTACTACTAAAATAGAGGAAAAGAGATATAGTATGGTTCCTACTTTTTCTAAATTATGTATTTGAGTTTTTTTAAAAATTGCTTTTGGATATGTGCAGGGTGAAAAACAGAGGAGCGGGCCATTAGAAAAGTAACCACAGTAGGATGTTAAGCCATGATGATTAAGGGGGACTAATAAGATTAATTTTCGAGAAACTATTCAAATTCGTTCCATTTACTATCAGAAGAATGCTTGGGTGCATTACCCTTACTTAAGACCTGAAAAGCATGCGATCCCACAGAGTAGAATGATTCTGGATCTGGCCACAGTGTGGAGATGTTGCGACACAGATTCACCTTGCCACGCTGGTGGAATGCTGCGTTTTCACACTGGAACACGGGTTTCCGCTGCCTGCACTGCTTTTCCTTTCCATTCTATAACAGTGCATCAAAGTACTAAACTAGGGCTTCCATTTTCTACTATAAGTTCATAAGTGTGTGTGGCACACTTTTTTGGGGAGAAGGAATATTAGAATTTCTATGCATCTGGTATCCCTAAACCTTCACATATAATATGCTTTTAATCCATCTTCCATATTACAACCAGGAATCCACGTATTGCTAAGTGAATCAATTTCAATATATAGTATTCTTGAAAGACCCACTAGAGTATATAAAATAACAGTGGATACCATCAGAGTTCATGGAATTCATCTAAGAATGAAATGGCATTGGTTGTAAAAAGCATTCATGAATTCACATGCAAATCAAGCTGTTTACTCATTCCACAAGCAGTCCCACTCTGTCCCAGGCACACTTCTTGGACACGGGGAGAGAGACGAAATAAACATGATATCTCCCTACTGGAATAGAAATACATAATTACTATGTGAAATAAATGTAACAAAGAGAAAATAAAGAATATAATGAAATATTATAAGTTGATACAAATGAGATGAGAGGAAGGAGAGAAGTGATAAGTTAGCCAGGTGGAACATGTTCCAGGCAGAGGGAACGGAATTTGGGGAGGTCCTCAGGCAGGCAGGGGTTTGGCAAGGTCAACAGGCTGAAATGATGTTACTAGGTTAACAGGGCTTGAACCTCTTGTGGGTGATGGGCTGAGAGTGGCAGGAGATGACCTGTCATGTCAGCAGAGGCCAGAAGATTAGGAACCTGAGTGAGATGACAACAATTGTAGGTTTTGCTCCAGATTCTGTGAGAAGCTATTGGAGGGTTTACGAGAGCGAGAGAGAGAGAGAGAGAGAGAGAGAGCGAGATTAGCTTTACACTTCCGGCATGTAAATTCCAACTCTAAACATTAAAAACTTTAAGGATTTATTTTTACTAGTTTTCTTTCTTCAATTTTTATATTTCTTTTCCCAGAAAACACCTTGCACAGGAGATGCTTAAATTTTAAGGAATAGAGCTTTCTGAGTAAAAAAAAAAAAATCCCTTTGAAAATACGTTTGATGATGGTGATAATATTTCACTTTTTTATTGCAACATAATTCTCCATTCAGCCATGGGTTTGTGTAATTTGATAGTTGAAAAGAATTTACCTTTATTTGAAAAAAAAATTGGATCTTTAAACTACTAAACTATATTTTAGCAGTGTTCATTAAATTTATTATTCAGGGGAAAAAAGAATTTTAAAAAATCCCAACCACTGCATTCAATACATAATTTGCAGGAATGTAGATCCTTTAAACTGAGCTGAGTATCTTTCAGCAGGCAGTGAGAAAGCCTCAGTTCTTCCCTATAGAATGAATTTGCTATGTCATCCTACATGAACTATTTACAGTCTTTTGCACTCTCTGAGAATTTCAGCACCTACATTATCCCACAGTGCATCCTGGAAAGTGATTGTTATGTGCTGAAGTGACTGAAGGTGCATCAGAATCGGCTACATGTTTTTTTAAATAGTTAAATATCATCCACCTTTACCAGCTGCAAAGCTGCAACATAAAGGGAATAAGAAACAGAATGATAAATAGTGGATAATAATTACAGGGATGAAATTCAGACACGGAGTTCTCTCAAATTGACTCCACTTGCAACTAACCCTCAGGATAAAAAGTAGAAAATTTACAGAAATAAATGCATGGGAAACTTGTTTCAAAAACACACAGGTTTGAAGGGATTAATTTGTTTAATTTTTTTAAATGACATTTTAAATAAATTAAATTGGAGATGAAAGTCTCTTGTATTTGCCCACATACCATTTTTGAGATGCTCTTCTTTCCTTTGTGTAGATTCAAGTTGTCATCTGGTAGGTATCATTTTTCTTCTGCCTGTTCTATTGCATGATCATTTTTCTGGTTCTGGACTGCTAACTGAATTCTTCTGGTGCTTTTTTTTTTTGAAATTTCACTTTTGGATATTTACTCTGAGTGCAAGATTCTAAGTTGACTTTTTCTTTCCTTTCAGCATGTTAAAATGTAGCTTTGATGCAGGAAAAACGGATGTGGGGCATGAGGAGGGCCATGTTCCAGGGTTCAGTTGAGATCCTGGGATGTGCCCCGCCAAGTGTAGGTCCTTGGCTTCACTCAGGAAAGAATTTAAGAGCGAGCCACAGTTGAATAAAGGTAGATTGATTCAGAGAGATACATTGTAAGGTAAGAGAAAAGCCACGAGGTGTTGGGGGTTGGGTGCTCAGATTAAAAGTAGGTACACATTCCATAGAGTGTGGGCCATCTCTGTAGAGGGAGAGAGAGGGTGCGGCAGCAGCGAGGCACCGAGGCACCGTGCTGCCAGTTTTTATGGGCTCAGTGGCTTCATATGCTAATGAGTGGAAGGATCAGTCTAACTAGTCCGGAGAAGGGGCTGGGATTCCCAGGAAGTTGGCCATTTCCCACTCTTCGACCTTCTGTAGCTAGCCTTGGGACTGTCATGGTGCCTGTGGGCATGTTATTCACCATGCTAATATATTACAATGGGCATATAATGAAGCTCAAGGTCTACTAAAAGTTAAATCTCCCACCATCTTGGGCCTCAAGGTCTACTGGGGTTTTAATCTTTCACCATTTTGATGTTACTTGCTGTAGCATTCCTTGAATGGCTGTGCCGTGCTTCCTGTCTCAGCTTCATTCTTATTTTTGACAAGGAGAAGTCTGAAATCATTCTGATCTCTGCCTTCTATACATTATGAATTTTTCTTCCCTCTGGCTGCTTTTAAGACTTTCTCTTTATCAGTTGTTTTTAGAATTTAGCTATGATGTTCTCAGTGAAGTTTCCTTGTCTTTTTATCTTGCTTAGGATTTGTTAAGCTTTGCGAATCTGTGCATTTACAGTTTTTATCAGATTTAGAAAAAATTTTCTGCTGTCATTTCTTCAAATATTTTTTCTATTCTATCCTTTCCTTTCACCTTTTTCCCCCACCCCTAGACACCATAAACACAGGTTAGGTTGCTTGATATTGTCCCACAGGACAGTGAGGCTCTGTTTATTAATTTTTTCCCCACTTAGTTTTCTGTGTTTTGGGGATACTTTCTATTGCAATGTCTTCCAGTTTACTTTTCTTTCCACCTCCCAAACTGTTCAACTTGCTGACAACCGCTTCCAATGAAATGTTCATGACAGACAGTATTTTTCATTTCTAGAAGTCTCATTGGGTGTTTTTTTATATCTTCCAGTTCTTTCTTCATTATACTTATGTTCTCTTTTAAACCCTGAGAATATTGACAATATTTATTGTAGCTGCTTTAAAGTCTTTGCCCACTAATTCCATCATCTCTGTCATCCCTTGGACTGTTTCATTATCTTGCAGATTAAGAGTTATATTTTCCTATTTCCTGGTGCATTTAGTAACTTTTGATTGGATGCTAGAAATGGCTAATTTCTCATTGTTGAGTGCTAGATTTTGTTGCATCCTTTAATATGTTCTATACATTTTGTTCTGGCAAGCAGTTACATTACCTGCAAACAGCTGTGATCTGTTCAAGCCTTGCTTTTTTCAAGCCTCATTTTTGGATGGGTAAGGGTAGCCATTCTCTTGGACTAGTTTATCCCCAACATAAAGGGTAGTCTTTTCCAGGGACTCCTATAGACACCCAGTATATTAGTCTGCTTGGGCTGTGATCACAGAACACCACAGACTGGGTAGCTTAAACAACAGAGATTAACTTTTCTGTTCTAGAGCCTAGAAGTCCAAGATCAAGGTGCTGGCAGGGTCGGTTTCTGGTGAGAGTTCTCTTCTTGGTTTGCAGATGGATACCTGCTCACTGTGTTCTCATATGGCCTTTTCTCTGTGCATGTTCTGAGAGAGATTGACTCTCTGGTGTCTCTTCCTCTTCTTATATATATAAGAGCACCGGCACAACTGGTTTACAGTCTCTCCCTTATGACCTCAATTAACCTTAATTATT